GAACTCCATTTCTCAATTTCAAAACATAAAAATTCTGGGTTTTTCTAAAATTTTGCTTAAATTTCTCAACCCACGAATTTTAGTACAACAAACTGTCTCTGGAGACCTATTGGAACTTTGGCTGCCATATTGAGGGGAAATCCCGTAGTTTACCCGTCAACTTAGGGGTAATAGAAACAACACCTATTAGAAATGGAGAGATTATAGACTTACAATCATAGAGTTTACCCATCGATTATAAGTCGCCAAGAGGTATTCCAGTTTGAGCAGGAGCAAAGTATTAGTACTTGTGGATAGATTCCTTAAATGTTGCAATTCTTAAATCTTGCAGTGGGATGTACATTGAAGTAGGTAGATGTTGTGATGGTGATGATGACAATAATGGTGGCAACGACGGTGGAAGACAATGTGGTGGTCGAGAATGGCTTTGGTTTGAGGAAAATGGGTGGGAGTGGGGTGTTCTTGTTCTTTTATTATTTTTTTTTAATTTTTTTTTATATTTTGTTTTTAAATTTTTTGGTTTTTTGATTAATTTTATTTAATATAATAAATCTGGAGTTACCATTTTGCCCTCACTAAATATTGTCAAAATCATTTTTCTTGGTCAAATAACAGTCAAATGGATGGAAGGGACCCAAGGTGCAAACTTTTAAAAGGTTTTGGACTATCAGTGGCACAAAATGAAAGTTATGACAAAGTCTACAAAATAACAAAAGATTAGGGACCATTGCTGCAATTTTCTCTTTTAGTTTTTCATCCTCAGGGTATGTAGGGGTAGACATGGTTCCATTTGTTTCTAGTTCTAAGAGGACCAAATCGAACCATGAACCAATTATTATTATTATTATTTTTTAATAATGAAACCAAATAGTTTTTTAAGATATGGAATTAAACCGAAACCAAACCATTTGATTCTGGTTTGGCTTGGTTTTTGTTCTAGTTTTATTATTGATTGAGAAAAAAGAGAAAAATCATTTTAAGAAGAAGAACCGAAGGTTGATACTTCAATTTCAGAAATCCATATGATGGTGGTGGCTAAGCAAGACAACAGATGCAAGCGATAGTTGTTGGTCTACATGTGAGAGTCAATGTATAAATTAAAAAGGAGAGAAAATGATAAATAAATTATGATCTAGATCTAATCTCCATATTGAGAAATGAGAAACCATATGTACATGACCTCTTTTTCCTAATTTTCAATTGAATTTTGAATTTTTGGCATAAATTGTGATTCATTAATTTGTCAAAAAGAATGCACATATATAATATTATAAAATTTAAATATTGAGTTTGATTTTTGATTTGGTTCTAGAATTAGAATTAAACCAGAACCATAATCAAGTAGTTCTCAATTATAAGATCTAGAACCATTAATTTTGTTTGTAGAACTAAACCGAATTGCTCGATTTGGTTTGATTATTTTGTTCAACCCTATGGGTTTGTTCTTTTTTTTCCTGGTAATTTCATTTCATATTAAATTCTCCTTTTTAAAATTTTGTGTGGAATCTAAACATAAATCAATTTTAGTAAATGAGTTTCTAAATACATTGTTGCCACCAAATGATATGTCACCACATAAGTTATTATTGAAAAGAAGTTGTCATGTGATGCTCTTAAGGAATCAAGACCCATCTGACAATCTTTATAACGAAACTCGAATGATTTGTCATGATTTCAAAAAATAAAAATAAAAAATTATCCATTTCGAAATAACTGTTGGATAACATGTTGAAAAATAAGTCATCTTTCGACACATCCCTTTAATTTCAACTAATGATGAATGATATACATTCAAATTTAAAAGAATAATTTTCAATACATCCATGCTTACAATTATCATTAACAAAGCTTAAGGACAAACACTACTTATTACTAAAATATACATTTCTAAATATTTATTATATCATGGGCAACTATATCTCCAACTTTTTCGTGGAGTTTCAATGTAAACAACAAAAATCTTGGTAAAAGGCTAGAAACGGAAAATAAAAAGAAGAAAAGTTTAGGATGTTCACAAAAAAATAGTGTACAAAAAATGATTTTCTAATGAAAATATTTCATTTCAATTTATTCAACCTTTTATATTATATATGTAATTTCATAAAAAGTGTAATTAATATATATTCATTTTAAAAATTTTAATTTTTTTAGCAATATTAATTACATCAACTATTTTCAAAAACATTATTAGTACTAAAGAATCATTACACATATCGTTCATCCAATACATGCTTATTACTAGTTTTAAATTTAAAAGAAAAAAAAAACACACATAAATGCCTTTCTGTTCTTTAGCACAGTATGAAAATTAAAGCTCGACTATCGAAGGTATATATATATATATCCTACCTCCTCTTATAAGAGTCATTTAAGAGTTTACTGTTCATTTTTGTAATACTCCCGTTCACATTAGGCTAGTTCCCTACTGGTTTCCAGTTGTTACGTTCTTTATGATGATAAATCTTGCATATTAAAAGGCAGAAAGGTAAAAAGGGGTCTTGCGTCTTCTCAACTCCTTCTTAGAGATGGCAATTTGAATCGTCAAAATCGAAAATCGTGGTTAACCAAATCGAATGGGGCGACAAAAATCGAACTGATGGTGCAATGGGGCGGATATGGTTTTGATTTTAATGAACCGGTTTGTGATGGTGCGGGTATGATATTTACACCATCGAACCGAAATCGAACCAATTACCCGCTATAAAAAAATAAAAAAAAAACAAAAAAAAACATACAATTGAATTGATTATTGGGCTTTACACTACTTTTCTATCTAGACCAAAACAAAATCCCCCTCATTACATCTACCTGACTCAGTCGGCCAGCCCAGTTACCATTAGCCGATAATAATAGCATTAGTATGACAGTATATGAATGCAAAGCCTATTCTCCACAAACCACAAACTCATGCACGACTCCACTGCCTCCATGGTCCAAGTCGTCGTTGCCTCCGAAAATTTGTAACATTTGTTAGTCATTCTATTACTGCTGATCATGTAAAAACAAAGTTCGATATTTTTCTAGACGTGCCAGTATTGCCAAGGATGGATGATTTTAATTTATTGATATGGTGAAAAGCAAATTCAATAAAATATCCAACTTTACAGAAGGTTACAAGAGATTTATTAGCCATTCCAGTATCTACTGTGGCATCCGAGTCAGCATTTAGTACAAGTGGTAGATTTGTGAGTCCATATAGAAATAAGCTTCACCCAAAGACTTTAGAAGCTTTCATGTGTGCTTGGGAACTGGTATTCATGGTAGAATTTATTGTTTTATATTTGTTATTTATACACTTCCTTTTATTGTTAATTTTTTTCTATTGTGTAGAAAATTCTACTCCTTTATCATACTCTAGAGCTTGTGTAACGTTTAGTGAGAAGGAAGGTGACGAAGAGGTACATTTTTTTTTAGTTTAAATCTTAGTTAAGACTATTCTGAAATAGATAGTATCGTTGTATTCTCTACTTACATTTCTTATTTACTATATGGGAATCAACTTTAAATGCTGATCTATGCTAGTAAGGGAAGAATGAACCAAGTAACATCGATACACAACAATTAAGAATAAAGGAAAAGTTTAGTATTATTATATTTATAATATTATTTTTTAATTTTGTATTTTGCAATTGAAAATTGGGATAATGTTTGCATTTCGTTTGGAATATTGTATTTTTATTTTCATTGACTTTTTTCATAAATTGTTTTATATCAATTTGAAGGATGAACTTATAAAAAATAATTTATTTTCGTGGTTATTAACCGAACCGAATCGTGTTGAACCGAGATACGAACCGAACCGATTTACGTGGTTATGGTGCGATTATAGTATGGTCAAAAAATTGATGGTGCGGTTATGGTTTGACCGAACCGACCCATAACCGAACCGTTGCCAACCCTACTCCTTCTCTTCAACCCTAATTTCACCTCTCTCTCTCTCTCTCTCTCGTGCAAAATAGTTGCTGGAGTCGAGATCACCTGGGAAGGGCCCAAAGTGATATCATTGCCAGTAGCTCCCAGAGTCGAGCTGATGAGCCTCTGGCAAAAGCAAAGCCGATTGATGTTGTGCCGATGGTTGCGACAATCAAACCGTCAAATTCGTGAAAACTTCAGAGGTTTTTGAGGGCCATCACCCCGTTTCAATTCCGGCTGAACATTTATCCAAGGTTTCCTTTTAAATTCTTATAAGAGCCACTTGAGGGTTTCGCGTTCACATTAGGCTAGTTCCCTACTGGTTTCCAGCTATTCACTGCTTTATGATGATAAATCTTGCATATTAACAAGCAGAAAGGTAAAAGGGGTCTTGCGTCTTCTCAACTCCTTCTCTTCAACCCTAATTTCACCTCTCTCTCTCTCTCTCTCGCGAAATAGTCGCTGGAGTCGAGATCACTTGGGAAGAGCCCAAAGTGATATCATTGCCAGTAGCTCCCAGACCTAGAGTCGAGCTGATGAGCCTCTGGTAAAAGCAAAGCAGGTTGATGTTGTGCCGATGGTCGCGACAATCGAACCGTCAAATTTGTGTAAACTTCAGAGGTTTTTGAGGGCCATCGCCCCTTTTCAATTCCGGCTGGACATTTATCCAAGGTTTCCTTTTAAATTAATTGAACTTCTGAAATTTTTGCTTAAGTTGGGTGCTCATTTTTACTTTGCAATTCTCATTTCATAAATCCAATCCAACACAGACTCATATTACATTTTCTTTACCAGACTGTCTTCTTCATGAAATCCTCCAAGCTTTTATCTACAGGTAAAAAGTCTCTCGCTTGCACTATGAGCTATGGACAACGGTTTTAGAATTCAATAGTGACACTTTGAACAAGAGGGTCGCTGACACGACCTGTCCCGATTTAACCTAATTGACTCGACACGTGTCGTGCGCCGATGGTAGATGGCAGCTAAATGCCGGACCCACCACCAAGGCAAACGTGACCTACTTGACCATGACATAATTCTATAAAAATTTTGACAGAGTTTCCCCTGTAACATGGACAAAACCAACCTGAAAAATCATCAAAATCTCAAATAGACATTTAAACCAAAAGTTTTAGAAACCACCACTTCCTCTAATACCACCACAACTACTACAAAATATAACAAAATTCGACTAAGTGCTTCTACAACATCATCTTGTCAACATGCAAGCATTACATTAATTACCAACCTTTCTACGAAGTGCATGACACACCAAATATTAGACAAGTACTTAATAAACATGAGTTCCCCAACTATACATTACATACTATGAAATGGTCTCTTTCGCTTCAACATGCTTTTCCCAGTATCTCAAAATCGACGGTCTCCTGATAGGAAAAACATGACAAAAATATGAGTTTGTAACTCAGTGAGTGGATGATTTGTAAATAAGTAAACTTTTTCCATTTATGCATATTTTCTAAAAATTTTAACTTTATTAAATCCTTGAGGATTTCTGAATCTAGTAATACTTTTAAAAACTAAATATAATTACATTATAAAATTCTTTGTTCTAAATTCTAGATAAGTATCTGTGAGATATAGCAAATATAAAGAATTTGATATTTGTGAAAATCTATGAAATATTGCTACTGCTCAAAAGTATAAGCTGAAAGCTTTATTCTGAAAACTGAATTAACTGACTTCCATAATCTGAAATCTGAGAACTGGATAAATACTGAAAAATCACACCAAAAAGAGTACCCAATGAATAGCCTTACTCATGTACAGAGTAATCTCGATGTACAAGGCAAAGCCATTCAAATCTGATAATCTG